TTTCTTACATTTTCTTACATTTTACAATCTTTCTCAGCTGACCAGAAGAAAATTTTCTTCTGGTCAGCTGAGAAAGATTGTAAAATGTAAGAAAATGTAAGAAATTGTAAATACATTTTCTTACATTTCCCATCTTTGTTAGATGTCTATTAGACTACCATTGAACGAGCTTTAAAAGTACATATTGCGTTTTTTCCATTGTGTTTTGTCACTCAGATAGTTCATATTTTCTAAATCATGGCGCAAAAATTGTGTGCGACTTGATGTAAATGCATGTGATTCAAGCGGCACTTTATCTCCATCTAAACAGTGAGAAACGCAATAGAAAATGTTGAATACATAACATGGCAGTTTCTAACGTCTACTAACCTAATGTGATTGTTATTCCACAAAGTTTGTCGATTGCTAGAAAGTGGAAACAACTGAATTAAAATTAAGAGATTTCAAATACTCAGGCATAATCAGAATGATGAAGTGTACGTGAATCTTTGGCAATAGTTTCATACTCACTTGGAGAGGAAGGAGAAAATACTCCATTGGATGCTTGATAATAAGACGTTGTTGATTTTATGTCTAATTCTTCACGTCGCTTTTTGCGCGAAAGGTACTAGGGTTTTTCTTTGTTTTCGAGTTGTTTGAAAAATGTGAAAAGATGTTATAATATATTCGTTCCATTAATTAATGAAGTCTTGCTTATTTTTTCCATTCATATGGAAAGCAAACAATACGACATTGTCATACGAAAAGAAGTCGCATTTGAAAGGCACAGGTTTATCAGATGTTATATAGTCTTAAATATGAAATAATTTTAAAAAGTGTTTGCGAGAGTTTCGCGGATAACATTTTTGTTTGAAAATTTTCAACCTGCTTAGCAACATTCATTCTTATTGTCCATAGGAACGCTCACATTATGCGCTCTATTAAATGCCAATAACCTAAACACGGCCTAAAACATAGTGTGTCATATATAGAAGAAGGACCTGGCTGGCTAATATCTGAAATCTGCTACCCCATAATTGTCCACTTTTATCGTACGGTTGGAAAGCCTTGATCCTAGCGTGCACAAGAATCTGTTATTAGATTTTCTCCAAAACATCTGGGCTCAAAAAAATCGAGCTTTTGTGAATGAAGTATTCAATTGGTTAGTAATTCAGAAAAATGATTATTACTCCGGAAATAAATGATATTTTCACAGTCGGCTTTCGCCATTAAACTTAGCAGATGTTCTTCTCCAGGGCAGTAGCAATCAGTGCCGCTCTTTGTTGATTATTATTGAAAAAAAGTTGACGAAGGATCTCGAAATCATAAGACCCAGCTCTCGTCTTTCTACCCTTGTGTTCTGTGACAAGATGTACCTTTCCCATATGTATGCTGTGGCATATATATTTCAACGCAAATAAGAAAGAAAAAAAAACGAGGGAAGTGTGATGTCACTTTTAAGGGGAAATATATATCGAATGTATAGAAAGAGAAAAAACGAATAGAAAAGAATTGTGTATGTCTTATTACCAAGAAGCGTATTGAGATCAAACAAGAAGATTGATCGTAGCTCCAAGACAAGAGCACGAAACACAGAATCATGCAGTAAATAAACATAACCCTCAACATCGTTTGATTGCAGTTGACACTTTCCGATTTTTCGGAAATGCAAAACCAGACCCTGAATGATTCCTTAGTGACAGGTCTCTCTTGGTGAATTACGAGGTTCCTGTGTTTATATACCTTTAAAACAGGTATCATGTATCATGTATGCATTTAGGCTTCAACCAAAGTTAACCTTTGTCATCACCTTACTTGACCTAACGTTAGATCAAGCCAGGTGATGTGGAAACTGTAATTCTATTTATTTCTTTATATACAGATACGTATACGAAGTAGTATTGCCATGTTGGTATAAGCTTTATTCTATCAGGATACAAGCGGAAAAATATTCCATTATAGTATTCTAAACTAAAACTATCGAAGAACACAAAATCAATTTTGTACGAATAGAGATTCGAACATGAGAAGCCCCTTAAAAAAAGTACAAATACTATAACTACTATAACTAGAAACTCATTCGTGATATTTTCATATGACAAAAGAGTCTTTTGACCGCTCGATATGAAAGAATTCTTTCATATCGAGATAAAACACGGGAAAATCAATCTCCTCATTAATAAAAATTTAATCGTGATACTTTTAGCTTCATGTCTAAACGACCCTTTGATCACGATAATACTCGATAAAAATCTATTGGAGTTTATCGCGATAGTTTTGTTTTCAAAGATAAAGATCACACATATAACGATCATACTTTTACCAAGATATAAACAGATAGCTTAAACTGTCCTCTTTCAATTGAATAAATCGCTGGGTTTTATCTCGATCGATTATCGATTTAATCAAAAAACAACCACCTGTCTTTTAATTTGGCGCCCATAGTAACGATGGTTCAGAATAAACTGTCCACATGTGTTCTTTGTTTTTGAGGTACTTTCCAGTGGTCCAAAGAGTTGGTTTTAGACTCATTCGATAGAGAATTGAATTTTCTACAAAAGCTGCTATTTGAATGTTTGATAGCATTTTTCTCGTTTTAACAATATTCAAAATATTGAAGAGTGCTGAGTTATCGAAATTACGACACACTGAAAAAAGAACAATATTTGCCTTGATCCAAAAACAGATTCCACAAGAATTTTGAAAACATCAGAAGATTCAAGGGAAAACTCTGGATCTTCTCACATATTTTTGAATTATAAATGCGATAAAACGTTTTGCACCACTGGAGACATACCCTCGTGAACTTCTTCTTCTCTAGTCATGATAACTTCTCTAGTCATGATAACTTCTCTAGTCATGATAACTTCTCTAGTCATGATAACATCTCTTATCTTAATACGGCGAACATAAAAATGGAGACTCTATATTTAACTTGCAGTCTGATAGCTACGAGGTACGATTGTTACTTTCTCTAATTATCAAGTTTTTTAGTTAGTGGTAATAAGACAATATCAAGATAGCTTTGAATGTTTTCTAATCCTTTATCTTCTATACATAACGTTAAATGTATCGTCCATATATTATCCGATCTTTTTACAATAGCGTTCACACGAAATATATTTCCAGTTAACAAGAGAACTTCATCATCATCTCTTATGTTACTCAAGTGATGGATTTTAGCGAATACAGGTTGAGTATCGCGCGTAATTTTGTGTAGATTAATTTTAATCACAAATAATACAGATTCATAACCCGAGCGATGTGAACCATATCCATTGTACATAAGAGCAACGTTTTCGGTTGTACTTGTTGAGAAGAATGAACTAATCGAAATATTTGCCAACAGAAAGCTGAAGTTGTTTCAGTTCCCTGCTACCCATTAATTGTCCTCGAAACAGAGTCAGTCGTGTTGCATTGACTGGTAAGGATCGCAAATATTCAGTTTGAACTTTGGTTAATTGATCATGAAGATCAATTATGAAAAATCGAAAGTCAAGAATTGTATTTATATCATTTTTTCGAAGAGCAGTATTCAACAGACGAAAAAGAAATGAATCTTTAGCATACCAGCGAATTGCATCATCTGCATGGTAATTCTTTTCAAAATCGTCAATTTTTTCCAACTCAGCTGGATTATTAGCATAGTACAATCGACATCTTTCCAAAAGTTTATTATTTACTTTGTCACTATCTGGTGACATGCGACGTAATATTTGCGTTAATTCTAATAAAATTACGTCAAAATTATCAGTTAATTTTTGTACTTCACGACCTTTATCACACACAGTTAGATGGAAGTACCATATCTTGTCGTTTTCATCAGACGGTTCAGCAGCAATATCAATTCGAAACACTGTTCCAAGTGATAATAGTATTTCCGCATCTATATGACTTATTTCACTAATATCAGCTAATGGATGATGTACATTTTGACTTTCGTTTCCGATATCAATTTCGAATAAAACCGATTCATATAATGGATCCTCAAAGTTGTTTTGGGCATACGTTAGCGCCACATCTTCCTTATAAGTTGTTGACAAAAATGAATTATTTGAAATAAAACTGCCAACCTTTTGTTTCAGTTTTTCGAGTTCCTTGCGCGGTAGTAATTGTCCCCGATAGACAGTGTGATATAATGATTTGCATTTTTGTTCTTGTAATCGATATAGTTGATTATAAAGATCAATTATATAAAAACCAAAATATAAGATCAGATTTAAATCATCTGTACGAAGATCTTTATCAAATAGTTTCTTGAAAAAACTATCCCGTGAATACCAAAAAATGGCATTTTCTGCTATATAATGTTCTCTAAAATCGTCAATTTTTGATTTCTCTACTTTATTGTTACCTTTACAATGTTCTATCATGTTTTCTTTTGCTGTCTCTCTTGGTGCTGGCATATGACGTAAAACGTCGATTAATAATTGAAAACATTTATATCGGATTTGATTCACATCGAAACGACGAGTCGACGTACCGTACAAGGTTTCGGTTGCCAAATCTTCATTAATTTTCTCAATCAACCCTGTTGGTTCATCAAATATTCCGCGTATGTTTATGTTAGATTTTAGCCAGTTAACATAGTTCTCATTACGCCATGAGTAGACCAGAACATTTTCTGGAAGGTCATATAACAAATAAACATCAAACTCGCTAAATAAACCGCCGATAATTAAGAATATTTGTTTGTTTTTGACAGATGATATATAATTAAGACAACTACTGATACTATGAAATACTTCCACATGATTAACTACATCTCTCAACCTATCCACAATTTGATAAAACTCTGTCGTATGGTTATGTCGATTATCAAGCCATGCAACTGTAAAATCGTCATAATTCGTTGAAACATCAACATCGTCATCCCATACAATCGCAAACGTCTTCGGTTTTGACTCATCGCTGGAATTTTTTTAAAATTATCGTCAGTCTTCATCGGCGATTCCCTATATTCCTTATCCGCACTGCCAATTTCGAGTTATAGAAGCACAATTTATCCTCTCAAATGTCGGTTTATTGTCTTGGCAGTGTGTAGAACGATAAAACAGTCTGATTTTGACGATTATGATTTTTAAAAAAAACTGATGATCTTTTTGGAAAAGATTATGAGACATTTAGATCTTTAGATATACAGTTCGGTTTTCAAACGTGAAGAAAACAAATCGACATACAATCACGACGAGCAGAAAAGCTTGTTTTTTCAGCATATATTCAAAATGTGTACATTTCTGAGACGGTGGAAAAGCAGAAAAGCTTGTTTTTTTTTAGTATAAAATCAAAAATATGCATTCTTCTGAAAATGGGGAAAGCTGAATGGGAAAGGATGGGACGATGAGAGTGAGCCCTACCTCGATATTCGCCACTATGGAAGAAAACAGGAAGATACCTGAAGATCTGAATATCTATGTATCTGTACATCTAGATATTATGTAATTGCAGATGTTTACAAAACAGACCGGTCATAAAATCATTGACTGTGTTATGAACGCATTGTGGATAGACTACGCGTTTTTGTATATAGCCGTGATTTACAGTCCATCAAATAAAGCAATGAAAAACCGCTGCACGTGTGAAACAAGAAACGTTCGTCTGCGATTCGCGGACCCTTGACTGAAAGTCTTTTGTGTAACGTTAAGGGTCTATCAAGACTGGAAAACAAATCATATGAGTCAAAGAGCATAACCCTTGAATTTTCTCCCGGAATACAAAAGAGCCTTGCGTCTTCCTTCGCTCATCATTAGGGGCATCCGAAAGATGTTAGGTGTGCTTTGTGTTTGATTGTAGACTAAAAAAGTTCATCAGTCCATTATTTTGATGAATCAGTTCTACTTTTTTAATGGGTTAGCACAGTATTTTGCGGATGTGAGCAATAGACCGGTGCAATAAGAAAATAAAATAGGTGGCATTATTTGCCAATAGTTGCCGACATGCCGGCATTTGTTTCATACGATCCATCTAATAGCTACGAGAAAAAACTACATAAGACACAATGAATTTTGTATTTACACATTCGTTTAACACAGAATAAAAAGCTGATTTGATCGACGATTAGAGTACGTACGCGCTGTTTTGTTCTGTATAGATTGATTTTTCACAAGCCATTTTTGTACGTTCTTTGCGTAATTACTCTAGAGGGAAACAGACACAATCGTAGTGGCAATGTTTCGTGAAGAATTCATTTACAATGCTCTTATTTTACTAGTACACCTTTTCTGCCCAAGATTACCTCAACTCTACTTATTAAAATAGAAAAATTACTTTGAAAAAGATATAAGTCGTTTATAACAATTCAATTATTTTCACATAGAAATTCTACGTCATTCTCCTTCAACATATACGTACTTTTGTTGATTCATGAATGAAGTTGGTTTTTTCCTTCTTTTCACCTTGTTGGAAAAAACCGTGATTGGTATTACTCAAAGTGATTATAACTTATTCTTTCTGCATAATTACCAAACTTTTTCTGGGAAGCAGCAGATGTAAAAAACATTACTGTGCATGACTAATAACTGTGTTGAGCCGACAAACGACACCCAGGACGTCGAAAACTGTGTAGTTAATTAGCAATTAAATGTCATTTAATATGGCATTAATAAGCATTTAAATAGAATTTTTATAGCATTTGACTCAGTTTTTGGGCCATTTTTTGCCACTATAACTGGGAACGTTTAAATGCATTTATTTCGCATTGTTTTAAATGTTATGAAACGGTCAAATAACAGGCATTTAATTGCTGTCAGTAACCCTGCTGGTCATATTTTTTTGCCATTTAAATATCAATTTTTGGAGTGTTCGAAAATGTGAAAAAAATATCTTCTGAAACCTACGGTACTATCGTCTGCACCGACCCAAGAATCACAGACCACTTGTTCGAGGCAAGTTTCTATGACTCATATAATTGAAGAAGAGAAAAACTCTAAATTATTTTAGGAAAATCAGAGTCATTTATACTAGTCATGGCAGCAGAATAAAACGGTGAATGGCTTGGTGACCATAAACTGGCTGTTATATGCCAATTTATGATCAGCTTTTTGCCATTTTGAAATGGAGAAAAAACTGCCTCAAAATGGACATGTAACAGGCACATTTATTTGACATTAGTTAACGCGATCTTCTATGGACGAAAATCCATGTAATGGTGTCCGCAAAATGATATTTTTTCGGACATTGACTATAATCTGGCATTATTTTCACGGCTATTTCGAAGTCATAAAAACGTCAGTATAATGGCTGTTAAATGCCAATTTTCATTCGATTTTTACACAATTAACGGGCCATTTTTTGGCATACAGTTAACAGGCTGTTAATGGACAATTAAATGCCAGTTTTTGTCGAACTAAGTACGGCTCATCGAATGATTTTTAGCCTCCTTTCCATCGGTTAGGTATAGTTCAGAGTAAGTGAAGTATAGAACTGCTACAAAAATCATTATTTTGTTAAACTTTAACACGACATAAAAATAACCGATAAAAATTCGGACTTTTTGCTATGACCGTTTGACAGAATACGAAATATTTTGCAATGCTCATTTTCTAATAAATTTCAGCATTGATCCCATTGCTTCACACCAAATGTTTTTACTCAATTTTAAGTGTTTCAATGAAAAGACGGCTACGATTAGTTCATTTTTGTTCATTAGCTGTCTTCTAACAGACCTTTTCTTAAAAGTTTTTTGATAAAAAATACCTTAGCGATAAAGAATACCTCGTGGCAAGTTAATTTGTCAAGTTCTTACCAGATGTCTGAGCTCTGCCCAGTCTAGAGTTCGGATTCACACTAGTTCTGTTACAAAGATCTGGAAACTCGTAATTTATCTAGGGCGTGCCCATCATCTTATAAATGATTAACGATGGAACGCGAGAACGAATAACCACGTGAAGAAAATGAACGTGATTCCGTAAGTTCAAAAATGAAACATTTTCAAGCTGGAAGTCAACGTCTTCTGCGGGAAAAAAAGCACTTTTCCCGCCGCATTCTGCAGGAAGCTTTTGAAAACCTCAAGAACTCCGTTCTTTTCTTAGGGAAAATTCCCGCCGAGTTTAAGACATTCACGACGAAAAATCTCGGCAGATTTCTTCTCATTTCCCGATATAGAAGAATTCTGCAGAATTTTTTCATTCGTGAACGTCTTAAACACGGAGGGAATTTTTGCGCAGAATTCTACTGAAACATTTTCTGTAGAAAAAGATTTTCATGGCTGTCTCGCTTTTCATCTCATCTTCCATCATGCCGCTATCCGCTTTTCTCATCTTACATATCGTAGTCAACCTTACTCTACTTAGTTTTCCTGCAGAAGACTTACTTTTCCGCACAGTGTTATGCGCACGGGATGTTTACCTTTTGCGCAGAGTTGACGAACAACCCTGAATTTTCGTAGGCTTGAACACGGTACCTTCGAATTGCATGGCAAACACTTTCTCATTAAGCCATCGCGATTATGCTACAATCAGATAGATTTTGTATATATATCAGAAAAAAGTGGTTTTTATCCGTGTGAAATCCGTGTTTTTTTTATACGGGAAAATCAACAACAGCGGAACAAAAGGAATTTTTTGAATATCGATTTGCACGCAGAATTTTCGCAAAAATTCTTCTATCGAGTGACCAGGTATACGAATCTCCTGATCTGACTAGATCGCTCTAATTTTAGAGTTTCCTTCTGATAAAAATTCTGCTAATATTAAGAGCTGATTTTAAAGATTTTTTGCTGTTTTCTCCTTTCCAACATGCCTTGCGTTTATTTCCATAAGATAGCAGCTATTCATTTTAATAAAATTTCCGTTCTTCGAGATATGATTTGAGGTTAGTTGATAGAAGAGCTGTATATGTAAAAATATTTTCATTATTACTGGACCAGTTTTGTGGAAGAAATTCAACTTTCACTTCCTTAATGGGATTTGGGGGCCAAAAGTATTCCGAAAAAACCATGAAGCCAAGTTTTGAAGCATTTTGCAGCAAAATTCTAAATGTAAAAGTTGTTCAGAATCAAATCCTCTGGATTACGTGCGAAGAAGTTTTTGAAATTCTTTAAACTCGATTTCTGAATTTTTATTTAAGAAATTTTTCAGTTTTTAGAGCCGTCTTTTCGTATTTATAAATCGAGTTTAAACAATTTCAAAAACACCCTCGTTCATATTTCAGAGAATGCATTCAGATTTTTTCTACAAAATGCTTACTTCGTTCGAAACTTGGTTCAACATCTGAATTGAAGTACGAGCCCAGCTCAAAATAAAGCTAAATTTTCAACTATTGAGTTTATCCTTCAAACTTTCCAGTTCGTAGAGCACATCTTGAAATGTGTATCCTGACGTTTCGGCTTACGATTAGGGGTGTTAATTTAGTTTTATTTTTCATTTATAATAATGGATAAAACTAAATGAATCATTTATACTTAAAAAATAAATATAAATAAATGAAAAAAAAATTTATCTTTATTTTATAAAAGTAAATGATTCCTTTATATTTATTTATTTATTTGTACCTTTATTTGTACCTTTATTTTTAAAAATAAATAAATAAATATAAAGGAATCATTTACTTTTATAAAATAAAGATAAATTTTTTTTTCATTTATTTATATTTATTTTTTAAGTATAAATGATTCATTTACATTTATTTTCCAAAGTAACACTAAATTAACACCCCTACTTACGATCACTAGTAGACTGACTTACTCTTAACATTTAGGCTGATTTCGAGAAAAAATTTATTTTTTAAAGTATTATATATTGATGTAAAAAAATGCAAAGTAGTCTATGTTGTAGTCCATGAAATTCCCTACTACCAGAAGAGAGTTAGCTCAATCTACTGAGGTAATTTCAGTCACTCCATATTCAACAAAGCTGTGTAAAAAAAAGTAGTCAGTTGGCCATTAACTCGATATACAAGTCTTAAAATAGGATCTTTTAATCGGTTTTATTGTCATCGAAGATTAGAGGTTACTTGGAAGAGCATTAACTTACATTTATAGTCGATTACTAGTTTTTCGAGATGAAGCAGCATTTTGCTTATTTCAATTAGCGTTCAAAATTCTATCAACCCCCTCCCCCCCCTATAATAGAAGACCACCCGGTCTTCTATTTTGTCTCTCAAGTCAAGTTCTAAAGGGTGGTCTTCTATTGCGGTCAAATTTTGTCGCCTGCCAGTAGTCCAACGGTATTTTCTTCGTTCAGTATAGTTTTGAAATAAACCCTTAACAATTTTCCCGAATATTTTTTAATCTATTAGTTGATTAAGATTTACAAGAATTTGGGAAAAATTTACAGGAACTAATTAATATTACTCGACAAAGTTGATTGCTAAGTGTATTCCTTGTCGTAAAGATGATAGTATACATGACGAACGCAATCCGAGGTTGACTCTAATATACTTGCTTGCCCTTCTAAAAATCTCACAAATCGGCATGTTTTTCTGATCCAGGTGGTCTTGCTAGGTGAAATATTATCGATTTAGCAAATAGTGTAGAGTAAGTACTTGAATTCTTTGAAATATATTTCTGCTGAAAAAATATCTCTTAGAATCCTGAATGGAAAGCTTAATAGAAAAATAGATTTTTTGGCGTAGAAAAAAGTTGTGCGGAGTTTGGAAAAAGTTTCGCGGTGAATTAATGGTTCCTGCCGAAAAATTGAAATTCCCAAAGAAAAAATATTTTCCCGCAGAATCTTGAGAATCAGGCGTTTTCTTTTCACTGGGGAGTTTGTCGAAGTGTTTCCGTCGAATCTTAGTAGTTGAAACAAAAAATATTTCATCATTGAACAGTCCATCACTCATAGTATATTTATTCCTCTTTAAATTTAGAAAAAGTGCATTTTCAATTTTTGGTCGAATGCCTAGACCGTTACCCACTCCGAAGCTGTCGCCAGCTGGAACAGTCTAAGAAACCATTACAAAGGTTTCTGAGGAGTGTCGGAAATTCGGAAAACTCAAAGTTACAATTGGCTATTTAGTTCTGTTCGACATTATATGAAATGATTGAGATAAATGCAAAGAATGAATGCACAGTACAATGTGACCCGATTCTTTCCAGTGTAATCCATCGTTTCGCAAAAGAAATGTCCTTATTTGATATAGTAATGACTTAGGTTTTGTAATGGATATGCACAGCTGTGAATATCAATAGCAATCTTAATGCCTGTTTTTTTTTGTAATTTGATAACAAATTAATTTATATAAGAAGCGTTTCTAGTACACTTGTTGCTTAAAGGGACACCTTTTGGATTCTTGTGTTGGCAGAAATTGAGAATGGCTCTTTATTACTTATGTTTGTTTGTTCTGATGTGTGGCACAGGTGTATCCGGTATAACCAAACTCCAGATTGACATACCACCCCGCAAACAGTGGGAAAATGGACATGGATATTGCGGTGAAACATCGATACAAGCAATCGGTTAGTTTTTTGTTTTATTACCAGGAAATGATAAAATCTTACCTTTCTGTACAAAGATTTGCTGTTACACTGTAGAAGGATGTATGTTACTTCCCACAATTTATTTTTGATAAATGATTCTCTTGACCTTCAGTTCGATCTAAAGATCAAAGGCTTTTGTTTCGTGCATTCGATTTTATGTGCTGATCCCAATTCTTAACTCTAATAAAACTGAACATATCTCAACGTAATCCGAGATTTCTTCTAAAGTTTAAGTTGTGGTTTCAAAATTTTTTCAGCATTCTACTATCCATGTGGGCACATTTACATTTGAAACGATCGTTACCTGCCTACATTGCTGAGGGTCAGAGCGTTGTTATAATCGGAACAAAAATTTACTTTGCAAAAGTTGGCCGACACATCAGATAACTAAATGTACACCTGAAAACGGTTAATGGACGATACTATCGGCTACGGCATATATAAGATGCGTGAGGATGAATTAACCATCATCACCAACGACGTTTTGAATGAACTCTTCAGCACACTTATGCACTATACTAATTGATTGACTGAACCCGAAATCCAGCGAAGTTTTGAAAACTTCTTCCGCGTTCATCACTTTGTTTTATTAAATCTTGAAAAGAACATACTCGCATTTAGTCGAAACAGTGTTAGATTTAGACGAATTAAATAAAAGCTGCTGTATATGCAAAGTAAAACTAGTTGAATTTCTTTGGCTTCTAATGTGTTCACGACATCAAAATCATCGATTGTCTATCGAACAACCCAAGCAGAAAAAAAGGTCGTAAGGCGGGCACTTGCAGCTACCTGACCCAATTTTTAACCCATCAAAGCTAGCTTAAGCGAGTTGAAACTAGCTGATGTGTCTGAATTGGACACTAATCGCTCAATTAAGCACCCACTGGATCGAATGCTTGCAGCTAGCAAGTGGGCACTTACTCGGAGTAGCTAGCTATTTGACCCAAAAGATCTACGATTAAACGGGCGCTTGAGCTATTTGATAAGCTAGATTTCCTTGCTTACTTTTTTCTGCCTGGAAAACTGCCTCTTTTTTGCATTTCTTGAAATTCCAGTCGCGAGAGGAAGAATGTACTTGGAAGAGTCGCCACCTTTGTGATAATCCTTGTTGACTAAACTGTCGTTCTATATACAATAGTATTCTACACATACTCACAAGTATGTATATTTGTAGCACTTTATTATGGTTCATGGATATCACAAAATATCATACGTCAAATAAATGGTGGCGAAGTACTTATTGGCATTGGTAGCGACAAACGAACGTTAAATACATTATTATTCAATTATCTTGAATGGAATTATAACAAAGAAAAACAACCCCAATATAAACAATATTGTGTATGGTTAAAACAAAATTTAATTAAAAAATATCCGTGTATTATAACTGCTTATCTATATGGTGAAAAGGATGAGGATTATGATCATATTATGCCCGTAATTGGAATTGATTATCAGAGTAAGGATGTATACGATGATAACGATGTTATTTATTTTCATAATTTATTTCAAAATCAAATAACTCAGCGACGTTTGGATACAATGATGAGTACGAGAAAGTCATGTAAGAAAGATGTATTTGACGGAGGATGTATACCTAAAGATGTAACATATGGCTTAGCCATCACAGGTATAATAGATAATAGTCATTCAACGCTACCGGTTCGATTATATATTAATTCATGGGATGAACCCAATGTATCACTAGGGTCGAAGTCGAAATTACTGCAAGGCACAGTTGTTGTGTCGAATCTTATACCAAACCAAAAATACGTTCTATTACGATATGACACATACAAGACTGTTCCAACATCTGGAAATGAAAGTAAATTTTTAAATTCAAAATATGATTATAGATATGACTTTCAAGCAAATGGTGATACTTGGACATTTAATGACCCAAATCATTTTCCCTCGAACGGTTCTACATATTATCGTTGTGTTAAATTTGTTTGACAGTGATTTGATTTTCATTTTTGTCAGTTATTTCATCTCTCTATATTCTGCCAGATGTTTGCAAAGCATCTACTGAACTGGAATGAATAAAAACTTAATATTCTGCGATTTAAATCAATAATTTTGCGTATTTAAATTGTGTGATAGTTTGGAAGGACATTGAATTAGTTTTTGATTGTAAACCCTTCCTTTTAAATTTTATTAACAGAAATTATTTCAAAAACGTTTCGGAAGAATCTTCTTCCTTCTTCAGTTTGAAAAAAAAAATTGTCATTCATTATTTTTTCAAACTGAAGAAGGAAGAAGATTCTTCCGAAACGTTTTTGAAATAATTTCTGTTAATAAAATTTAAAAGGAAGAGTTTACAATCAAAAACTAATAAAAAAAACTAATTTTGCTTATTTACTCTGTGAAAAAATGTGAAACTAGAAGGATTGCTTGTTTGATCGTAACATCGGAAAAAGACCTTTTCGTGAAATACAATTAAATGCCTGCGGAAAAAACCTTGTAGCAATCAATCTTCTATATTTTGTTTTTTCTTCTATGTGTAAACTAACGGTAATAGAGTGCCCTGGGATACAAAGAGACATTTTTTCAAACTATGCTTGTTCATTCAGACCGCTACATGATCTAAACATTTAAGAGGAATTGTAAAGTAAACCGAGAAAGCCAGACAGGCTGTACATAGACAGAAAGATGTGATGCATAGTATTGAACGCTAAATTTTGAAAATGCAAAAACGGATAGCCTGTTATGTAAGCCAAAAAGATCTTGGGACAAATGCGGACAATACGAGGTATCTAAACTTAAAGTAAAATTGTGACAGATTTCCACATACATCATCTCGATCCCAGATGAACCATTTGTTGATTCGCAATTAAAAGCTGAATAGTGTGGGAGGTCACTATTATCTTTAACAGAACAAGTAATATAGTTGAGATTGTAATTCACTAAGTTGTTTCGTCTATTGTAAAGCTTTCAAAATAATAATAGGAAATGATACAGTAAAGAACGCATTTTATTAATATAATCTGACTAATACATCTTGCTTCGGATAAATACATACATATGACCAATAACAAAAAAGTGTAGGCGTGCCTTAGGATAATGTGTTTTTAAATAAATAAAAACCAAATAACAGAACTGTTAAAATTATAATAGCTGCTAATTTTGAATGCACATTTATTTGATTAGAATTAAAAAGCTTTTAGAAATTAACAAAATAAAAAAGAATTCGACGCTTAGAAACATTACTTTCATATCTCGAGAGAGAGAAAATCTATTCTTTCTTCAACGTCTCTATTAAGACGTCTTCCTGACATGCATAGACATCTTTCTGTGACGAAAGTTGATTTCATCGTGCTCTCAACGAGAAGTCCGAGTAAAACATTATATAACCAAGGCTAACAAAAGGATCCCAGCAATTGGACGCCGTGTACGAAATTAAGTGTAACTTTCTTATTGCAAGCACTTTTTGACATTCACTCATGCATTAAGTTCAGGCGTTTTACTGGATCAAAATCCCATGTTTAAATAAAATTGCTGATGAATCATTATCTTTCACTTCGGGCCCGTTTCCAGGGGTACGCGCGCGTTTATTGAAAGCGCGCCGGTTTCTTGACTATTTTAGGCTTATTCTACTTGGTAGAGCATGATAAATTCAATGTTAATATTTACAGCTCAAGAAATAGTCTAATTTCGCTAAATTTTGCTAACATGATCAGAGATCGGCAGGTCCGACCATTTTCAAATCAAGTCAAGGTCCGACGGAGCTTAAGCCCCCTCCCTCCCAGAAATGATAAACCTCAGACAAAAAATCCATTTTAAGATAAGCACATGGAAAGAGAGCCTGAAGTATCTGCTTACGGAATCTATATCGCTTTCGGTTACAGAAGCGATTTTTCGCGGCTTTCGAGCAAGTTTTCTATGAGCTCTGAAAAACTGGATCTTCAAATAAGGGTTCTTCCTGGACACTTATGCGATTAAATGTTATTCTTAACGCGTAGATTGTGAGCAAACTTTTCTGATTAAAATAAGACGTCGCACAACTCTGTATAACCGTGCATTACAAAATTACAGGCATTGTCCTAAAAGCCTCAAAACTGAGCATTCTATACAGCGTTTTCTCTACATGTGAGTTACACCTGGAGTATTTTCCAAAACTTTTCTAATATACTTCAGGCTAGAGAGTTCGGGTTTGTTTAATTTTAAATTAGACACCTAGCTACATGCAGGGGTGTCTATTCTGTGGGACGTTTGAGGCGCAATGTCTTAAACAAAAGTAAGATGGTATACTTTTTTGTTATAGAAATTCATGTTTCAGGTGGTACACTGAGAGATCAAACCTTCAAGGTGGTACAAAATGCTTGGAATATTCAGGTGCGGATAGACGCCGTTGGCTTTATGGGCTGACCGGCGCCGATTTTTAACTTAGATCTTAGTTTTTTGATCAATTGAGGATTTCTAGAAAACCAGGAAGCGTTTTTCGAGTTTTGAGCTTGTTGGTTGTCTACAAAACGAACAAAGACCTAACTGAAAAATCGGCGCCGGTCAGCCAATGTAGCTAGGTGTTTAGTTTAAAATAAAACAAACCCGAACTCTCTAGCTTAAAGTATATTAAAAGAATTTGGGAAATACTTCGGGGTCCTTTTGGAACTCGATCTCTGAAAAACTACTAAACCGTAAGACTTGAAGACAAAAAAATGTTTTCATTCTCATAACTCATTGTGCCTAACATTTATGGAAAGTTTCGTCAAGATCGGATGTACGGTGTTGGAGATCATCTCTAAGGCAAGCCCCCAAGTCCAAGTCGAGCCCAAGTTTTTCAGAACAGTTTCTGTACTACAGAGTGCATCGTACTCATATATGACGGGTAATACATTGATGCATGTATGATAAAAAAAGACTGGTAAATTAGATATCAGATTATACTGATTCCGCTGTTGAATGTGAAAGATTTTAACTCCTTGAACGTGAAGCGGACTTGATAAAAAATCTCCAAGTCCATCAAAGAATGTTCAGGTCCGGAGTTGGAGTTGTTGCCCGCCTCGGTGTATGATACCCTGGGTTTGGCGCAAAATATGAGCGTCACTATAGACGATGAAAATGAATTGTGCTAAATACGTCTAAACATTTCAAATTAAAAGTTATCCACCAAAGTTTCGCGAATACTTTTATAAATTATTTCTTGTTTGAGACTATATAACATCTAGTAAAACTGTGCCTTTCAACTGCGACTTGTTTTCGTATGACAATGTCGTATTGTTTGCCTTCTATATGAATGGGAAAAATAAGCAAGGCTTCATTGATTAATGGAACCAATGTACTATTACATGCTTTCATATTTTTGAAGAAGTATTTTTTCTGTTCTTTTCAAACAATTCAAAAGAAAAGAAAAAAGAAAAACATTCGTATTTTTCGAGAAAAAAATACGTGAATAATTAAACACACAACAACGCCTTATGGCCAAGCGATTGAGAAGTAGGTGAAATCAAGGCTTCAAACATATTTTGGTCATAAAATTAAAATCTTATATAAGCTTCGAAACTTCTGAGTAAATAAGTCATTCGTCACCAGTCAGTTTACAAGCAAACGAAATCATGAGCGATCGTATTTGTTTGATCGCACTAGCGTTGACTCTGCTGATCAATACATCAAATGGATTATTTGCTCCGTCCTCTCCAAGTGAGTATGAAACTATTGTCAGAGATTCACGTACACTTCATCATTGTGATTATGCATGAGTATTTGAGATCTCTTAATTTTAACTCAGTTGTTTCCACTTTCTAGCAATTGACAAACTTTGTGGAACAACAGTCACATTAGGTTAGTAGACGTTAGAAACTGCCATGGTATGTATTCAACATTTTTCATTGTGTTTCTCATCTGTTTAGATGGAGATAAAATGCCGGGTGAATCGTATGAATTTACATCAAAGAAATATAAAGACAACGAAGCTTGTACTTTAACAATAAAAGGATCAACAACTAATCAAAGAATAATTGTTTCAATAGAAAAGATGGATATTGCTCCAGATGGGAACTGCGGTGATTCCCTCAAAATTTATGATGGAAAAGTTGGTGGTACTTTGTTGAATAGTGTTGCAACGGAACAGTGTGGTAAAAAAGACTTTTATGTTAGAGTAAGCAATTTAGTTTTATTTTATCCAACTTCTATCAGAAACAGTGGAAAGTAACTTTTATTCTGTATTTCTGTAGTCGAACTCGAATACTGCTGTCATTGTATTCTCAAGTAATAATGATGGAAAACAGGGTACTGGATTCACGGCAACAGTTGCAATAGACTTTTGTAAGTACACACATCTTTTTTCTTTCGTTGTGCAAATAGATATGCGCCGTGCTTCTATTTTATTTAGCTGTAGCTGTAACAAACTGTGCCAGAGATGTTGGATTTTATAGATGTAAAAATAATTATTGTATATCGAGCAAATTTGACTGTTCGTCAAAAAATTATTGTGGTGACAATAGTCAAAAACTGACATGCAGCGGAAAATAAAACTGTAGTCGTTTAAACTTTCACACACCATATATGGTGCGCATATGCAATTTTGTAGCGTCTATGTTGATGTATGTTTGATAATACGGATTGTACTACTTGATAATATATGATTTCACGGTATCTTATGACTGATAGACGCTGCATTGAAAATGTCAAGCTAAATTTTCAAGAGCTATTTGATTGATCGATTCTATTACAGGAATATATAACTTAAGGATCTTTTCGAGCTTCCGTGTTTCGTTGTGCGCCCATTTAGGCACGGTTTCTGGAAAACTATACTGCTTCTTAGCGATTAGAACAAGAAAGATTTGAAAAATACTCTGAGAGATGATTTCAGCTCTCATCTACCAGCTTCGTGCCAATGTACACTGGACTAGTATTAAGAAGGTATAACATGTTATTATTATTGATTGAACCTTCGATCATCTTAGAAATGTTCTAATTTACGTAAAAAAGTTTTATTACTTATCAGGAAGGTTCCTCAGGTGTCTCTTCAATTTTTCCTTCAGAGCATTATAATTAAGAGTAATTTTTGATGCTGATCACGAATTTGGTATTATTCTGTCTTCATACACCCTTTCAGTGTCACTGTGTTTTAATTTAAGATCCCTAGATTCTAGCTCATCACAAACTTTTGTCTAAACAGGTATTGACTATGTCAGATTGTAAAGCATATCATGCCACGTATGCACACAGGTTATTCGAACAATTATTATCCCGTTATAGAAGTTTAAGAATTTTATCCATTCAAAATAAGCATGACTGATGCACTTTTCTAGATAAGATATTATAACCTGATAAATAATAGTTTTTAGTTCGAATACAACTTGTTCATGTAGATGAGGTAATATGCTCTACAATCTGCCACTATCAGTATTTGTAGACACAAAAGTTTGTGATGTATTAGGGTCTGGAGAATTTAGATTCAAATAGAGATTTTTTTGAAAAGGTGCATGAGGACAAAAGTGTACCAGATTCGTGATCCATATAAAAAATTATCACTTACGGATGGCTTCAATCATCTATGGTATTATCGTGTTTGCTTCTTTGTAACTGAGCTCTCGACACGTTATATGAAGGGTATTAAAGGTACTATCATTTGAAGAGAAAATAGTTCATATCAGTTGGCGTTCATCTACGATTCGCTTACATTAGCCCTTAGAATGAATATATCTTTAGTGCTTTGTCTGAAATCTTAGGCAACGCGTATTATTATTAATGCCACTCTTCTGCAAACCAGATCATATCGTGAGCTGTTACTCAGAATTATGTTTGAAAGAACAGATGCTCTTCTCGCTAAAGCTATCTCTTTTTCATCCTCTGTTATCTACCGTGGCTTGCACACGGTAGATAATAGTCTTTGCATTTTTACAACTAGTAACGGGAAACTCAAAAGTGAATAGACAAATTTGACGTGTAAGATATGATTCGATTTATCGGTAGTAAATTTCTGAGCTCGATTGGATGATGGAGGTTCATTACATAACTAAGTTAAAAACTGGATCATAGAAAAATCTAGAAAATCTAGAAGATCATTTCCTAGAAAATCATTTCCAAAGCTTTGTCGGATAAATCTTAGCGAAAATATATCGACAACAATGCAATGAAACGTTTACCAGCGAGGTGCCGTATATGTTTTTATTGTATGTGTACGTGTGTTTTTAGTATGTATGTGTGATAATCAACTTTTCTTTTCGACTGTTCTCAACATGTAAAGGGCCTGACCACCCTGTTGAATCAAATAAACTATGTTTAGATCAAACCACCAGAGATGCACATATAAGTTACAAATCAGTTCAAGCTCATTTAACACGAGAGTGAACTACTTAATTAGTAGTCAGTAAGACGACCATTAGCCATCTTTACAAGCAAAATATCATGAAGGATGTGAAAACGACAAGGGGGAAACAGCAGATTTTGGGATTTTTCCGATTTTCACCCATTTTTGTTCCTGCACTGTCCTTTACTTACTTACTTTCGAATCGGTACGATACATCATCATATTGTACAAATCTACTCGTCACTTGATTCATCTTGTTGTTAACTTCTTCTTGGTTTGAAGTTTAACCACTTTTGATAATTAGTTTGATATATGCTTTTTGTACATTTGAATACATCTGCAGGAGCAAATATCTCCACCGAAAATGTTTCGTCTCCTTCCATGTTTGTTTGCTGAGCGTATCGAGCACCACTCAAGTGAGATCTATGCTGTCTATAATTATCGTTTAAATTCTGTCTTAAATCAATTGCGAGTTACGTAGATGATGATGATCAACAGCGGTAATATCAAAACTAATACCGATACTTACTAAAACAAAATGACAGTTGTGACCCAGGAGAAAAAAGACGGGCAATAAACTGCTCATTAACTGCCAGTTTACAGTCTGCCTAAAAACTGCCAGTTGACAACGTGTTAACTGTCTAAAAACCACCTAAAAACTGTCTAGTTTATTGGCC